TAATGGTGAACTTTCTGATTAAAAACTCAGTCCTTCCGTTGGCAAAGCAGGCTGGTAAAGAGGTCCGCCTGATGTTGGGCATGGCGTCCAAATTGGAGTAGTTTGCATTCACACCACTGGCTAGCAAGTCTGCGCATGGACCATGCCAAGTCCTCGGAGGGGTGGGTTTCGGGTTTGACATATGATGTAATATGAAACCATATGTGGGCTTTGGCGTGTGATTGACTGTACTGACATATTGGATAAGAGCAGCTCAACACCACCCGTTTTGAAACTGCTTTCTACCAAACACATCCAAACACTACCTGTTGTAATGCTGACACTTACTAAATTGCAAGGAATGGAATGTGGAATTAACAAACCACCATTGTTGATCACTTCAATCAGAAGAACACACTTCAAGTGGACAGATTGCCAAGTATCAAAGCGCAACATGGGCACTGGAACATGGTACGCCCAATATCCAATGCTACACCAAAGGGGATATTGGCCACTCTGTGCCGACATAGTGTGCAAACTGAAGACTCTGAAGAGGAAGAGGAACTGCCACGGTCTAGTTCCAGTCTGGCTTGCATGGAGTCAGAGTTCCACTCGTCGCTATTGGCTTGCAAAGCAATGTTGCACATGCTTTGCAGGCGCAACATGTTGGAATCCATTTCTGGTCTTTCACCACAGCGGTACCCTCGAGCTCGTTGCATTGGCACTCCAGTGTCTGATATCACTACAACCTCTTCCGACAGGTCCATTGGTTCTCTCAGTGCTCCAACGCACACCAGTGCCTTGACACGATTAAACTTGTCAAGTTGGACTGGACGACCTAGCCTTCCAGGCAGCTGCCAATGCACGAATCTGGCCTCATACTCTTTGGGGGCATCAGTGCCTTGAGAGGGCAATGGTATGCACACCAAAGACAAATTCCTTCCAAATGTTGGCTGACGCTCCGAAGCAGCATGAGCTTGAAAGATTTGGCTGGACACTGATGCTTCTTTCCTCCAACTCTCACACGCCAACTCCAAAGCAAAAGCGGCGTGCTTCAACTCTTGTTCCGGTGCAGAAGGGGCGTCAACGCCACTGGTGCACACATATGCATTCACGAATGTCATCCAAGCCGGCTGCTTCAAAGGCAGCGTCACAGAACGCGAACGGGCTGCAGAAGACCCAGGTGTGCAAGGACGTTCCATCACTGTCGGAGTGACCACAGGAAGATCAGGCTCAGTATCAGCACTGGGGTCGAAGTTTCCCATAAGGGACGTGCTTTGCAGCGCTGCTTCTAGGAGGGCTTCCTCCTCTGTAGCGCCATCCTTGGCACAAAAAATATACGCAACAGACTGTTGACTTTTGACACCACAATGTAGTAAGTATCTTTGGCAAAGGGCAAACAACAAACAGCAAACAACTCAACCAGAACTTGCGTGCAGACAACACAGACACACACACTTCACAAAAGTTGCACAATTAATATCACAATTACAGTAATGACATGTGTTTTTGTCGCACTGCACGCCGATCTTTCTAGCAGTCTCAGTCATGTCCTATGCGCTAGTATCGTACGCAAAATGCAAATGGTAACCATGTTGACGACCATTAGCGTTGTGTTTTGGTTAGTTTGCTCACAGATAATAGATATTTTAGAATCTAGAATGTATATAGCAGTCGCCTGTGGGCTAAACAGCAAGAGTAAACAGAAAACAATACGAGTCATACCGTTGCGCCGGGCCCCCTTGCTCCCACAGCCCCGGCCCTACAAGTATTCCGCGCCGGTTCCACCAAGTCTCAGCAAGCTCTTTGTTGGCTACATCCACAAAGTGCTTCCCCTGAATCTTGTCACCACGATTCAACACCCGAAGTGCAAGTTCTGATTCTGATCGAGCACGTTCCAGCTCCATGGTCTCTTTCTCTTGCTCATTTGTCCATGATTCATCCTCATCAATGCCAGGCTCCATTCCAGTATTGCATTCTGTATCAGCAACCTCCCTTGCAAGATCTGCGTCACTTTGAGCCAAGGAGGCTTGCCCAGCTTCATGACATTCCATCAGGTGATAGATAGCTTCAATGACCTCCTCCTCTTCCCCTGCTTCGTCTTGATCAGGATCATCTGGGTTTGCACCAGGCTGTTCGCGAGAAGCTTGGAACTCCTTCATAATCTGTGGCCAGTTTTCCGCACCTGCGTCGGAATCAGAACCATTGTCGGGCCCACCGTGCGAACCCACATTGTTTTCATCATCATCATCATCATCATCATCGCCACCGCCATCGCCATTTTCCTCATCATCATCACCATCATCGCCACCACCAGCCAAACTTGACAGCTTGGCGCGACAGTTCTTGGTGAGAGGCTTGAGGGTCAACGCAAGCTTGAATGAACCGGCAACTGCTTTCAAATAGGAGTCCTTTGCTGGCTCAAAAAAATGTTTGACGCTAGTGACGTTGCTAGACATTGAAAATAGCAAAAGAAACCAACTGCTGGATTCACACTGGTGGACAGTGGACTATGGACTATTGCAAATACTACTATAACTCTGAACGCAGATCAAAGGCAGCCCGCATAGTAGAAGCATAGCCGCATAGTCCCAATAGCATAGCATAGCCATTAAACTCTAACCGTGTTCTTGTTTGACTTGTTTGCGAAGTTTACAAAGTATTCTTTTGGAGTTGTCGTGGGCCCTTTGTAGTAGTAGAGGAGGAGGATTCTAAGACTCTCTGCCTGCTTCAACTTGGTTCCCTTCTATATTGTTTTTTGCTCGACGCATCGAATCAAATCATGAATTCCCGCAATGCAAGTCTGAGTCTGACGCAACCTAAGCAACCTACAGCCCTGCAGCATAACATAAGTTCCAGCAACCATATATGCACAGGTTGTTGCGAGGTCACGTTAGCGCAAGTCAGCAGAGCGTGGCTTGGGTGAGGTGACTTGGACACAAATAGACGACGTAAACAGACTACTCATGACACAAGAACTTGACGTGTGAAAAGCACTGTGATGCACAGGACGTGACATGTAACGGACCTGTATTAAATTAAGAGTCAAAAGTCAACAGTCGACAGCCGAGTCTAGTCTAGTTACTATTTTTGTATCAAACGTAACAACAACCACAACAACTACAACAAAAACATGTTAACGCGCTACCTTACCAAGCATTGACGCTGTGACCAATAACAAAGCCATAATCATCTCCAGCCATTGCCAGGTGCCATCCCACAGCAAGCTCGTTCTTTGACTCTTTGACTCAACACAGAAGCGTGAGCGTGAGAAAGTTGCTAAGCACACTGAACACTAAACCAATAACCAAGCCCGTCCCTTTGTTCTTGTAGGACTGAGCCCTTTGTTTGACTCTCTTTTCCAGCAGTAGTACTTCATTCTCCTCTTTCCCAACTTCAAAGTGAGCGTGTGGGCCCGTTGGGCCGTTTATCGTCTTCGAGTCTTCGATTATCATGATCGGTCCATGGCAGTATGTGGCAGTATCAATATGTATCAATACTAGGATTGTCCATGCTGCGTGGGGAAGCGCACTACTACTGAGCCAAGACTCCTCACAGACGTGCACCAGCAGCTCATAGACCTCAATGGTGGTTCTGTCTTTGCTAACAGCTTTGTAAAGGCGCGTGAAGAGGTCGTGGGACTTGAGAAATCTGAAAGGAGTCCGCAGCTCGTACAAGCCTTCTCCATCTTGGACTTTGTAACAGCAAACGAGGTGAAGGGTTGAATACACCTTGTCAGTCACGAGAAATATGTGCAACGCATCTGTCGGTTTCTTGGGTGTCATGACCAAAGCGACGGCAGGTAACCCATTCTTGCACGTGTAGGCCTGTTTGGCACGGTAAGAATTCAGTTTTGAGTTCATAGACACAGCCCAGAGACGTTCTGCTGACATTCGGGGATGTGATTCTGGATCTAGCTTGGTGTCATGTTTCTTCGCAGCTGCCAAAGAAGGCACATCATCCCGGGGAGCAGCAGACGCAAACCTTGATTCATTGTCTTCCACCTCAGATATTAGAGGCCATCCTGCCATGCACTCTTGCAACAAGACTTTGCGGTATCTTTGACATCAGAGAACTTGCGAGATCCTGAGATGGAATAACCTCCAAGGCCAAGATAGTGCTTCAAGGCAACTCTGGATGTACAAAGGTCAAGTGATCCTGAAGGACACCTGTCCCCGTATAGAGTCAATGCTTTGTTTAGCCTCTCTGATTCTTGTACATCACTGTCCATCAAGTGGAATACGGCACGGAGCGTCACATACAAGCGCCATCCACAATAGCCGGTTGTTGCCGCAAAAGCAAAGTCAGCCTTGTAGCACTCCAAGTTTTTCAATTTCCGCACACTGATGTGTAAGTCCTCGTCTTTGCTGTCCAGTATTCGCTTGGCATGATGCTGTCGATCAGGGCCTGGAAGGAAAAGTAAATGCTCAAGGCTGCTGAGTTCTGAAGCAATCATGCATTATATCAGGCTTCCCCAACGCCGAACAATTACATTACAATGATAAGCAGGGGGCCCTTCCATGTGGGACATGTGGCGGGATATGATAAAATGATAAAACTGTAAACAGTGACTGGCGACAGTCGCGACCGCGACAGCAATTCAACTGAGCAGCAAAAAACTCGTGGCCCATGCTTCACAAGGAAAGCCAGCGCAAACGGATCCCGTCTCATTGGTACAACGATCTTTCTGTGAAAGCCGGAAGCACTATGCAAGAGCATGTCCAACCTTTTGCAGCGCGGCTATGCGTTTGTGCGTGACACTGTGACAGAAAGCATCGCTATATTTTTGCCCCAGCCCCCAACCCCCGCAACAGCAACGGCAACAGTATCACAACATCAACTAACTGAATTTGTATATCTCCCTGATCCCATCATGGTAGCCGGCCCATGAGTCTAAACAATTACAGTAGTAGTGCAGAAAGTTATGGTTTGTTTGTTTCACTGCAAACTTTTGATCAGGTCCGATTAGGATTTTGATGGCTACACTACACCACTAGCAAGCGCATTTGACCACCGCAACATTAACATGTAACGCAGCTGAAGAACGCAAAGTTCCGGATAAACTGGGACTCCTCAGGCTCCTCATCTTCCCCCTCCACCATACACTGGAATTGTGTCAGCCGGGGCCATATGTCCAGGAATTCTTCAGAAATAGATAGTGCCTTTCCAGTAGCTAACTGTGCCACGTGGTTCCATTGATTCAGTTGACGTTGCTGAAGGAAGCTATGCAAGTGGGTTAGAGGCTTTCGGCTGGTGTGCATGACCTCCATAACACGCCAGAACAATGTGTCTTGTACAGTGCTAAGACTGCGTTTTCTCCATCTCCCCATCTTTTCAGCATATGCTTTGGTTTCCTCAATTGCAATGTCATTGATTGAGGGATGCGACTTTGATTTCGTGTCACCGTCATCACTCTTAGACATTTTGGTTTTGAGGACGGAGGCCAAAATGGGAGCAAGCATGTCTTTCCCACATTGAAGAAGACGCTGTTCAGGCCGATCGCAACCAGACCAGCGACCAGAACATGCCTTGGGAAACAGCGTCCGCACACACTTCTTGGCTGATTCTGCGCCATATGCTTCAGTCCAGGCTCTAAACAACTGTTTGCTGACATCTCGGCACACGTTCACCAGGGTCGCTAACGATGAGTAGTAAGTCCATTCTCGAAATCCTTTGAGGCACCTATCCGCAGCCTTCAAAACAGAAAGGGCGACCAGATGCTGTGCGTGCTCGAGGCACGTGCACTCGATGAAAATGCAATTGGGGTCATCCATCGTGTCTGCACGAATGACCTTCCGAGCACCCATCTCTGATGAACCAGCATCCGTGGTAGCGCAATAGATATGAACTGTGTTCTTCCTGGGAAGTCACTACAGCGACAGGGACGACGAGCCCTCGAAGTCTTCAAGTGGATTGGATTGGACAAGGTTGATGGTGGATTTGTTCCTCTATTCAGACAGTAGATTATTTGGTGTCTCCCAGGTTCCGATACTGATTGATACTCTAATACTCTACAATTCTACAATGCTTTGCAAAGAGAGGTGAGAAGATCTGACAACTAGACAACGAAAAAATAAATAGACAAAAAACATAACGACAACATACAAGCCACCGCTGCAAGGCCGTGTCAGACTGCACTTTCTTCCAGGAAATGCACCCGAGACATTCTAACTGTTTGAGAGTCTGCGAGACAGTGGCCTCGGATGTACTGCCATCAACGGGCAGGACATCAGCAACACGCACAATTTCTTCAAACCAGTCCTCAAAGCGCCAATCGGCGCAGCTGCTCTGGAACCCATTGTCCGCCATTGATTCTGATTCTTTCAAAAAACCGGACCGGAGAATCAACCCTGCTAATTTGGCTCCCTTGAGGATGTTGCTGTTTGTTGCATCCTCCTTGAAACAGTTCACAACCAAGCTGAAAGAGTCATTTCCGCCAGTTGTGATCTCGCCATAGACATAGTTGTACCATAGTCTGGCTGAAGCTACCAAAGAATTCCCTGCTCGACACTCTGAACGAGTCACGGTGTATCTGGAAATGTCCTGTAGCAAAACTGCGCCTATGTCAGCTGTTGCTATGTTGGATAGATTGCGGCGGATGGCGAGGGCGAAGGAACCTTGCAATGTTAGATGCTTCCCTTTCCCTTTCCGTGCCCGTTGAATTTCCAAACAAGCATAATCGTCTTCAGCATTCTCTTTCTCAACAAGCTTGGCTTGCGTCCTTTGGAGAGCATGCTGCAACCGATGAACTTTGGATCTCAACGCCTTGTTCACCCGACGCAGCTTGTGCACATGTTTTTGTTCTCGTTCCAACCGCCTCGAACTGTCCTGGGAGCGTTCCAGTGTTGAAACATGATGAAACAACGTTTGTAACTAAATCAATTTGACTCACGTATTAGTATAAATATAAAAAATAAATATAATATATATATACACATATTTATGTGTGTGTGCGTGTTTGGAAGCAGGGTTCGGGTTCGCGGTCTAAAAAACATGTGACTGTGAATGACGCTAGCGGGCATAATGTTCCATTGGCTGCCGCAATTTGTTTAATCTTGGTTGTACTATGCTTGGCTTGGATAGTTTCTCCTTTCTAAAAAATAGAAACTCTTTAAGTGCTGATTGGATTCTGAGTTCGCTCTTTCTGCTTCTTCCAACTGCGACTGCAGATCCGATATCTGGGATTGGCGGGCAGTGGATTCTGATGCCCCAACGCTCAAGCTGTCCAATTGACTATCCAAAGCCGTTTGTGTAGCACTGTCCGACGCATTTGTGAAAGCCGGACAATCACTGTAGCTGCGGCTAGCACCTCCTTCTTCACCAGGATCTATCCACATCTGACTCTGTAAGGCCAGGGAAACAACTCTTTTCCATTCTTCGTCAGAAATCTCTATGTCCAGGACGTGCAAGAGAAACTGTGGGATGATGGAAACATCATACACACCACTTGCTATCTCATGAGCAGAAGCCTGTGGAGTTTGCAAGAAGTAACCCAGTTTGCGCGTGAGGACATACTCAGCCTTTCTAGCTGCTGCAGGGTCTCGTCTCCTTTGTTAAATCTGCTGACCTAAAGGAAGAAAACATTGTAATGAGCCTATGTAATGGATTGGTCTTAAACAAACGGGAAAAACAGAAAGACTACGTGATCATTCGCCTGGCAAGGTTCGCTTCTGCACTCACCCCCAATTCCAAGATCCACGACAAATGTTTTTCTGGTATTCGCAAGGTCTTGGAAGGTCCAGAAGCAAACGCGCCCAGAACGAGCAGCCGCACGAGTTCGTACATGGAATGCGTTGTTGGATTCTACTATTTAAATTATGTTGTCGCTCGTAGTATCTAAAATATTCCATCAATGAAACCTATTGATTGGATTTGCTGCAACTGTGATTGAACATGCTTTTTGGTTTGCAGTCACTGAAAAAAAACACGATCACAGCTTCAAAAATTATCAGCCCTCTCTCTTCAAACGGCCCGGAGCAGCATGTCCAGTTGAAAAATTGGCATGACACGACTGCACAAAGTTCTTGTTTCTGCATTCAACACAGGCACACAAGCATTTGTATTTCTTGAACTCAGGGAGAAACATACGTTTTTTCTTAGATTTAGGACCGACAAAAGGTTCACAACAGAGATTGGAACATCAATCACTTGGAACCCTCAAGGCAAACCCTTCAGAATTCCACTTCCCAACCGTGCTAGCTGCCTCAAAAAACCAGCCGACTCAAGCAAAGTTTTCTTTTAAACACTTTGATCCTTCCATCTCTAAATCCTGTTTCTCTCACCACCGGGTCTAAGCCACCTTGATTTTTGCGTGTTAAATTACTGTTCCTGGCAACCTCACAGGTCAAATTTCACAAACCTGAAAAGACAGGAGGCAACATCAAGGAGCAAAATTTGGAAAACCCGTAAGACCAAATCAGCGCCAGGAGGCAGACGGTCGTCTGCCTCCTGGCGCCAAAGGTGTCGCACCCCCATAGTGCGAAACGAACGTCCCTAGCCCTTGGAGATTTTTGGGGGGGGGGCGGTGCAGGGGTTCGAGGTTTGAGGTTGCCGGCTCCAGCTTGAGTGTGAAGGTGATATGAATATGATATTCAGAAACAGGTCGCAGGTCAGAGTTTTCCTCACCACCCACCTGAGAAAAGAATCGCTCAAGAACGTTGGAGCGTTTTTCATCTGTTGTTGTCTTTGAGGACTTCAGCCAGAAACTGGCGGATCTTGTCTAACCAAGGGTTCAGCGGTTAAACCAGACCTTTATCATAAAGACCTAAATTAGGCAGAATTGAAAGCATTCGAATTACACTCTGACTCACTAACATGGAAGTGGAGTTCACCCCTTGTTGGTAGAGGAAAGTAGTCTTCCTTACGGGACCATTTTCCCATCCACGTAACCATGTGATGTGTTCGTCAGAGGGTCTGTTTCATCAATGAACAAGACTGGGTTGATCCGCCGGATCTTCTGCACTGTTTGAAGGTGATTGGAAACACGTTGATGTAGGCGCCAGGGGGTCCAAACGTGTTCGGAACGACGTGGATGCCCCCCTGGCGCCAGAAGATCCAGCTCATCCGGTTCTTCGATGTCCGGTTTTTCCGCTGAAATAGACCACTCACGTCGACCTGTCAGGTGACCTACGTAATGGAGACTCTGAAGAGATCCACCAATCTGGCCAATACTGGGGTCTTCAACTGCCTTCGAGAGGTGTTTAGATGAGTTCCCCACAGCGCGCAGAAGAACTTTGATGTTGGACCACTGTTGAACATCTATGTTGGACCACTTGGGTGTGCATTGGAGACGGGGAGACCAGGAGACCCCCGAGATCTTGCCGCTGCTTGGGTAGACTGGTCTGTTCCTTCCAGGGGATCGTTGCCGGTGAGGAACCACCTATTTCTACACCCATTTCGGCTCCAGACTCCACCTTGGGCCTCGTATGGAGGTACCATGACGGACCGAACTCCAATCACTTGGAGGAACCACTCTTCTCTTGAACAACTCAGAACCTCCAAGAGTGGAACCTGATCGGAACCACTCTTCTCTTGAACGTCCATCCTCAGAACAACTCCAATCTTGATCTTGGAGGTTGAGATTGGATCCGGATCCACTGCCCAAGGCCCACACCAATCGCGAAGCCGCCGGTGCCTTGGAAAAGGAGATGTGGCCGGGTGGTCCGGCAATGTCCGGCATGGCACGGGTTGGAATTGAACAATCCTGGCTGCCCATTCTGATAGAAAGCATGCCGCATGCCTAGAAACTCTGCAAAGTAGTTTCAGTGCCAAGTGCTTCAAGATGACTCAAGATGTTATGAATACTGGAAGAACTGAAGTGCAACAAACGTCGATTGCCATTTTGCTGCCCCAGGATGGTTTCTCAGATTGGCAAGAGCATCTCCGACTTAGTTTCAAGATCCCGCACATGTCTGCAACTGCGATTCTACAGTGACTCCAAGGAAGAAACCATGATCCAATCAAGATTGAACAAAAAGAAAAGGATAGAAAAGGAAAGAAATCGATTCAAATTGGTTGTCAAAAGGTTACCGTATATTACCATATCGACCATATATATCTACCATGTATCATCCGTATTCTCCCATGCCCACGCCACGACCCATGTATCGGAGATGGCTTTTTTTTTGATCCGGCTGGGTCTCTTTTCGTGTGTTTCAACCGGCCAAGAAACCCCCGTGGTCATCGGCTTGGCATAGACGTCGATCTTCCCTTTGGAATAGCCGAAGACATCATCCACCTCAAACGCTACGACCCAAAGCGTTGGATCTCGAACTGGCAGGGGATCCACTAGTGGAGCCAGGGGGCTGGCAACATATGGGTACAGATAGACGGGATGAGAAAGGAGTCAGTAACTCTAGGCCCTAGGGCCCTAGGGCCAAAACTTGGTTGTGCCCAACTCACTCCGGACTGGCTGGGTTGTGCTGGGCTACCCAGCAGTGGTGACTTTCAACCGCCCTAGGACAAAAGGACCAATTATATACAAGCAGCGAAATATCCACCAAATCGGACTGACTTATATAATACCTCAATGTTGATAGGCCTTTACGGATCTTACACAAATTGCACACACTTCAAAAACATGTAGAAATCAGATCAGGTTCAAACACGTTAAAACCAGCCCTTCGAAACCGGAATGACACATGTGGCTTTCGTTCTGGGGGACTTTTTGAGAAGCCCATCTCCACCAGCGCCAAGCGCGCCACACGCCCACGGCCAGGTCCCGTTCGGCCGCGATCTGCCCCGTTTGGCCGGGTCCCGTTCTGCCGCCGGTGGCCCGCGGAGCCAAGCGGCCGAAACGTGATGCTTCTGCACCGCGGACAACACCGCGAGGGTCTCCGGCCTCGAAGGCGGCCGCGGAGGCCGCCACATGCGACCGGAGGTTTGCCAGTGTAGCAAAACGCCACGGGGTTCAGCCCAGTAGGCGACAGGTGAAAAGAAGTGGAAAGAGGAGGATCCTGGGAGGGTTTGGGGGTTTGGGTGAGCCATGTTGTCACATCAAGATTTACAGTCCACTTTTGCATGCCATCACGTTAGAGATTTACAGTCGGTGTGCCGGTTCTAGAAGGCCCTCAAGTGTCCCTGTTGCACACCCCGACCCCACTATAATGGTTCTATCCACGACTCCAACGAAAGAACTGAGTGCTTTCCGTGGCCGTGATGCCAGGCCAAAGTCTTCAAGGCGATAGGAACGTACACCCATCAGCATCATCTATCAGCTACATCATGCTACATCAAAGAAGAATCGACCGCAAATGTCCTGCTACACACAGGAGAGGATCTTCAATTCAAGAAGTTCGCAGGTCTTTGGTGATGTTCATCCATCTGGTCTTTGAGATGACCCCTGGTCACTGGGCCTCTTGGTGACATAGGAGGGAGCGATGATGCTACGATGCTCGACGTTGAATCAACCACAGGGCTTCCTGTATTTACAAATCTGCCGAGGTGATCTTTGACCCCCGAAAAAATGAAACACAAACATAGTTTCTTCTCCCCACGCGCAGAATAATCTCAGAGTACTCGGGTGTGCCATGGTTGGTGTTTTCTCCCCGGGTACCGTGTAAGTAACAGGCCATTGGCCATCCAATCATGGGACTGGAGTATTGACCGCAAAACATCAACCCTTAAAGCACCTGAACAAAATCATCCTCAAACCTGATCGACAAATCTTCCAGTCCGGATTTGTTTAGCTAAATAAGATAGAAACAAAGCTAGCGACTCCCAATTCAACTCCGGTACCGGTAGCGACGCTTGATTCACCATGACCGACCGGTGGGAAGCGATGCTCGTTGGCCATCGCCCAAGTGGCCCAAGTTGAGAGATGGGCACCGTCGAGTCCACACTCTCCGCCTCGGGCCACACATTGGATGCCCACCGCATGGGATAGAAAAGAAGGACCAGACCAGGACCAGGACCAAGTTCGGTGGCTTTGGGGGACACCCCATTAACCTGCAAGTGTTCAAGGAGCTATTTTATAGACACCCTTTGGAAGGTGCTGGTATACAGTACATCATACTGTTATTACATCGATTGATTCACTCATAGACTTGGACACGTTGTCTGCTGTGAACATGAACAGCTGCTAAATATCGAACTCACGAACCTGATTGCATGGAATGGCATGTGATGTTCGGCCTTCCCACTCCCCCACGAGCCTTCCCCAAAACCCCAGAAAAAGAGCCGATGGCTCTACATCACGTCGACGCTGTTCACTCCACGAAGTGGAGCTCACCACCGCCAGAGTCTCCACCGGTGCGCCCTCTGCGTGCCCCGGCGACTGTCTCGGTGACCAGTCGCTGCATCTGCACGGCGGTCTTCAGGACCTGAAGGGGTGCTGAGGAGAGACCCGGTCTCGACAGGGTCAAGTGACCCGGTCGAAAGAATGAAAGGTCGAGACAGAAGGGAGGAAGGTTTATTCAGACAACAAACGAACGAAAGGTCTACAGACTTACAGAGCGGCTTTCTTGAAAAAAGGGCAAGAGGGCCTGAGGGCACTGAAAGAGGAGAGGTATGGAGAGGTATGGAATGGAACACAAGCCTCTTGCAAGTCTCTGATCACCCAAAGAGTACTTTGAGCATTCCACGAAGCCAGTGACAGCCCAAACAATATTAAGACCGAGCACCACTCAACTGATCAGTAGGGGTCCCAGCCAGTAACGAAGCACCTTATTGTTCAGGATCATCCAAGCCATGAATCACCATGAATCACCTGCATCTCCAAGCCACACACACAAAAAATCATACCCTTGCAAAGCCTATCACATGCCTGTGAGTTCAACAAGGTTCCACAAACACACAGTAACGGAAGACATGAACTATTGGGCTGCATTCTGACCAACTGGCTGCTGGCACTCACCGGATAGTGAGCCAACGTCCGTTCCTGACCAACCTTCCGCACCTGCTGCAAGGCAGACCTGGGAGGCATGGAAAAGGTGCGGCAAACCTTCGGACGGTGGACCCGAAGAACCCCAGTAGATGTGCATTGGGTGGTTCTTTTCTTCTTTGGGTCAAGGGTTGGACAGGCCGAAGTCCGAACCCCTTGGAGCGCATTCCGCTGACGGCCCTCCAAGCCAACGGGCCCTTCATGAGTGGGACCCGGTTAAGTCCCCAGCCGAAGCTTCTATGAAACTAAAAGAACTGTGTGGATACAAGTATAAATAAAAGGACCGGCTAACCCCACATGATAAGTTTTACAAATTTCAAATGTATATGAACATCACATGGGAGACGGAGTAGTGAGATGAAAAGTCAAGAACGAAGTGTGAGGAGAGAAGGTATATGAGGCGGTTGTGCTAAGACGTGTAGTATAAGTGATGATGTGATGGACGAGGATGAGAAGGAGGGGAGGGAGGAGGTGTGTGTGTGTGTGTGGTAAGATGGCGTGCGTGTGTGTGTGTGTGGGTGTGTGATAAAGTGTCTGATGATGTGATGAACAAGGATGAGAGGGACGAGAGAGAGAGAGAGAAGGAGGCGGAGAGAGAAGTTTGGAGGCTCTGGATTTTGCGATCAGATCCGCATGAGACCTTCAAAACGTAACACACTCGAAACGACCATCAAAGCTATCAAGTGGTCTTATCCCGACCACGGCGGGCAGTGTTAGCAGGATGTAAAGCAAGAAGCCAGACCCTCCAAGATGCTCATTTGCATGAGGAGTATGTGAAGATGCTCATTTGCATGAGGAGTATGTGAAGATGCACACGCTTGGAGAAGCTGATAGTGTTGGTGTGGATGGTGATCTGTTGAGATGATGTGAGTGGGAGAGGTGAAGAGGATGATGTGGAGCTGTATGTGTGTGAGGGTGGTGATATGTAGATGTGAAGAGGATGATGGTGAGTGGGAGACAAGCGGCACCAGCGGCGACAACGCGCGCCGCAGCCCCTTCTGAGGGCTCTGGGTACTGCGCCTGCCACACGGAGGGCAGCAAGCGGCACCAGCGGCGACAACGCGCGCCGCAGCCCCTTCTGGAGGCTCTGGGTACTGCGCCTGCCACGCGGAGGGCAGCCAGCGGCACCAGCGGCGACAACACGCGCCACAGCCCCTTCTGGAGGCTCAGGAGAGTGCGAGGGCAGCCAGCGGGCAGCCAGCGGCACCAGCGGCGACAACGCGCGCCGCAGCCCCTTCCGGAGCCTGTGGAGAGTGCGCCTGCCATAGCGAGGGCAGCCAGTGGCACCAGCGGCGACAACGCAGCGGCACCAGCGACGACAACGCGCGCCGTAGCCCCTTCTGGAGGCTCTGGATACTGCGCCTGCCACGCGGAGCCAGCGGCACCAGCCGCGACAACGCGCGCCGCAGCCCCTTCCGGAGCCTCTGGAGAGTGCGCCTCCCACGCGGAGGGCAGCCAGCGGCAGCCTGCCACAGCGAGGACAGCCAGCGGCACCAGCGGCGACAACGCGCGCCGCAGCCCCTTCTGGAGGCTCTGGAGAGTGCTCTGGGTACTGCGCCTTGCACGTGCCAGACAACACACACCGAAGCGCAGAGGAGTATGTGAAGATGCACACGCTTGGAGAAGCTGCTGGTGTTGGTGTGGATGGTGATCTGTTGAGATGATATGAGTGGGAAAGGTGAAGAGGATGAGGATGGTGATCTGTTGAGATGATGTGAGTGGGAGAGGTGAAGAGGATTATGTGGAGCTGTATGTGTGTGAGGGTGGTGCTATGTACATGTGAACAGGATGATTGATGTGGAGATGCGTGTGACAGCGATGTAGATGTTGAGAGGATGCTTTGAGAGGATGATGGTGCGTGGGACAGGTAGCCGCGGCGGCGGCGGATCGCCGCGGCGAGCGGGGTGGCAGCCAAAAAACTAGAACCCCACACAGAGATGTGGGGAATTATGTTTATATACATTATATATGTTTTGATATTTTTATTGTTATTATTATGGTTGTTTGTCATGAAAAATGTAATTATATATACAAAATATACTACAAGTACTTATTGATTTGTTGGCTTATGTAAAAGACATGCTTCTAGACCACCCCCGGACGCCGCTGGGCTGCGGTTCGATCGAACTGGGTTCCCCCAGCGTGAAGAGCTCGTGGTGCACCTCCGCCAGCGGCGTTGCGTCGTCAGTGTGGCGTCGTTCTGGATGTTCAAAAAGGATATTCTTTGGGATGTTGGACTAGAAATTGGAGTCCCAAAAAACGAAGGAGTTTGCTTGGGGCACCACTTGGCCCGTGGTCCCCAAGGTCCACAACTTCAAGGCTGAAGAGCCATAGGCTTCCCAAGTCACCCACATCACATCCCAAAACAGAGCAAAGCACCTGTAAGGTTCATACTCCAAACACATAACCGATTCAGGCTGTTCTGCTTCCATGAGAAGAAGTGTCTCAGAATCACCAACAGTATCCGGCAAAAAAAGAAGCATGTGTTCGGTGAGATTCTGAAAGGCCTGCAAAGATTGCTCCAATTCACTCACAAGGCTATTCCATCCATCCTACCTTCAGATACCCCCACTTTGCGCCAAAGCCATCCAGCATGCGCTGGAAAGTTGGTTGTTGAGGTGCCCGATGTTGAGGGAAAACCGAATTTGGTGGTGAAGAAACATGATCTCAAATTGGGTCATAACCTGGTGCCTGACCAGTCCACCATGTAGCGAACGACCTCCCAAGCAGTTTGACAAAAGTATCCTGGTTTTGACCCACAGGCACCTGAGTTCAGAAGCTCCCCCTTTTTCCCAGGAAAGGATCTTGCAGTTCTTGAGTTGTTAACATCACCTGCTGCAAAAGAACCCGTTCTTTTTTGGTCGAATTGGGTTGGACGTTCGACATCGTTGAACTACCTTTCACCATTTCACGGAACATGGCTATTTACACCACAGGTAGAGTCTCAAAAAATGCTCTGGGGAGACATGCCTAATATACATCCCTAGCCGTCCAAGACCATTTTAGAAGACGTAGTTGACTCTAAAGTCCTTAGTACAACAATGATTCTTCGGTCAAACCCACTAAATCAATGGTAGTGGTTGAAAGCCTAGGATATACACCAACTTCAATCCAGTGTTTCCCGTACCAAACCTCTCCAAACCCACTGCGGCTTTTCCCGTCCCTTTCCAATTGCCTCCCCATTTCTGTACGTCGTCTTAGTGCTGAGAATCCATGAAAATCAACCAAAGACTCAATGAACTCAGTCGGGTCAAGAGATCTCCCCAGTATTTCTGCGGCCTTGTAGTCAGAAGCCTTTTGCATTCGGAACTCCGGTGGGATCTTCTTGTCGAACCTCGAGTACGAACGTTAGGTGAGGGTGGGGCGTCTCAGGTATCTCATGGGTACAGAATTGGAGGGCGAAGCCGAAACGATGACCTAAACCTATTGATTCCAGTGTTTCTGGGGGAACCACCTGATAAACCACAGCGGATTCTTGTTCACACATGGTCACACACCCTCCAGGAGGGCTTGGGTTTGAAGAAGAAGGGACCTACAAATCACGGGAATTGCCACAACGATGACTCTCCACACTCCTCCACCCACTCTACTTTCAATGTGGTAACGGTTTACAACCTGAGAGATCCCTCTTGATGTGGGCAACGGAACTGGTTATGTGCCTTTTGATTGATGATTCACCATCCCTGTCGGCCCCTTTGCCTCATCGACTGTCTACAAACATATGTTGACAATGATTGGTGTTCCTCAGGGACATTACAAGACCATGATGTGTACACATATGTTTTTCTTGAAATGCATGTCCAAACATCATGCGTCGCGGGGTGCTTCGTAGCTTGCCATCTGATCCACTCCCTTGTCATCTGCCGTTCTCGTCCATGTTCGCCAAAAAGCTTCTTTAAGATCTTCCGCACCGCGGTGAGGTTGACCTGATAGAGATCAGAGCGACCAAGTGCATCGCATGTGAACATAATTTCATATAGTGGGTTGAGAGTAGATAAGTTTGTTCAAGGCTCATTGGAGCCGTCGTAAGCTTAGGTGCACACACAGCATGTACATTTTAACAAGGCAGGTTTTCCTAGGTCGTTGTAATGAGGTTTGGTTTCATCCGTTCCCGTCCCCTTCATTTGGTTTCCCTTTTCATCCTTTTGCCCTTCACATACTCCTTTTTCTCCTCTTTTCTTTCATGTCTTTCCTTGCTTCATGTCCTGTCATCTCACTCCCTGTTTCTCTTGCGTTCACATCGGTCCGGGCCTTAGTCTCTACGCGCACATCCACTGTACATTTAGGTTTCAGGTCGCCAGGTTCTGATAATGAGTTTGGGTCACCTTTTGTCCCTGTGCATTTGGTTCCCTTTTCATCGCAACCACGTACACCTTTGTCCTGTCTTGTCCTCTTTTCATGTCTTCATCTTTTTGTCCTTGGTTGCGCGCACCCGTGCACACTCGCCTCAACCTTAGTTTTTTGCCTCCCCTCGGGGAGGCGTGTGCGTGTAACCCTTGGAGTCACAGGGATCCTGACGGAGTAGTCGTTTTCTTTTTCCCGAATGCGTAGCGAAGGGTTCTCGTTTAACTCTTGGGGGTCTGGGGGTAGAGCCTTGTTCGTGACCCGTTGTTTCTAAGTTCGCAACCGTCCGCAACCGTCCGCAACCGTTCGCAACCGTCCGCAACCGTTCGCGGTAGAGCGCTAAGGCGCTGCCATTGGGGGAAGCTTTTGCAAGTGACTATTCATGGATGTGTCACGTGTCAGTTTGCGCCGCTATTCCCATGTGATTTGCATGAAAAAGACGTGTCGCGCAAGCAACGTGATGCGTCTCGCTGCACAGGCCAGCGCTTGGTGAGATCTGCAGATGGCTGCGCAGTTCCATTGGGATTAGCGTTTGGAGAGTCGTGTTTTTGGGGTGTTGGATGTCGCCGTGCCATTAGGATTTGCGTTTCCGGGTGTGGCATCGAAGCTCTGTTTTCGTGACAAGTCTCGGCTGAAATGCCGATTTTGGTGGATGGGAGTATGCTCAGAACGGGTCGAAATCATTCCAAACGTGTGGTGTGGTGCAAATTTTGTTGAAGCTCACATGAGATGATATTGTCACTTTTCGTGGCAGGCGCAGTACTTTGTGCGGCTTTTGATGTGTGGAAGTGCGATTCTTGTGGTAGGCGCAGGAAATCGTGAGGTCGCGACGTGTGACGGAGGTGACCTGTCGTGGCAGGCGCAGTACTTTGTGCGCGTTAGACGTGTGGATGCGGAAAGATTCGTGGCAGGCGCAGGGAATCGTGAGGTCGTGAGTTGTGGTAGAGGTGAATGTCGCTGTCACATTGGGATTGGCGCGTGAACGGGTGTTGTTTGGAGGGGCTGGACTCGCGAAACTGCTTGGCAGGGCTGCGTGATGTGTATGCTCCGCTGGGTGTTGCCGCTGGACTTTTGGAGGAAGTCTCGTACGAAATCCTCGTTTTGCAGACTTTGACATGTGAGTTTTGGAGGAAGTCGCGTACGAAACGCTCGTTTTTGACTTTTGGAGGAAGTCTCGTACGAAACGCCCGTTTTGGAGACTTGACGCGTGACTTTTGGAGGAAGTCTCGTACGAAGCGCTCGTTTTGGAGACTTGACGCGTGACTTTTGGAGGAAGTCTGGTACGAAACGCTCGTCTTGCAGCCTCGCAGCGTGACTTTTGGAGGAAGTCTCGTACAAAGAGTGTGCCCTACAGGAGTGTCCCACAAGAGTGCCCTACAAGACTTTCCTACAAGAGTGTCCTACAAGAGTATCCCACAAGACTTTCCTACAAGAGTGTCCCACAAGAGTGTCCCACAAGAGTGTCCCACAAGAGTGTCCCGCAACAGTGTCCCACAAGAGTGTCCCACAAGAGTGTCCCGTATGAGTGTCCCACAAGAGTGTCCCGCATGTCCCACAAGAGTGTCCTACAATCCTACAAGAGTGTCCCGCAAGAGTGTCCCGTATGAGTGTCCCACAAGAGTGTCCCACAAGAGCGTCCCACAAGAGTGTCCGACAAGAGTGTCCCATAAGAGTGACCCACAAGAGTGTCCTACAAGAGTGTGCAACAAGAGTGTCCCGTAAGAGTGTCCCACAAGAGTGTCCTACAAGAGTGTCCCACAAGAGTGTCCTACAATAGTGTCCCGTAAGAGTGTCTCACAAGAGTGTCCCACAAGAGTGTCCCGCAACCGTGTCCCACAAGAGTGTCTCACAAGAGTTAAGAGTGTCCCACAAGAGTGTCCTGTAAGAGTGTCCCACAAGAGTGTCCCGCAAGAGTGCCCTACAAGAGTGTCCCACAAGAGTGTCCTACAAGAGTGTCCCACAAGAGTGTCCTACAAGAGTATCCCACAAGAGTTGCCTACAAGAGTGTCCTATAAGAGTGTCCCACAAGAGTGTCCCACAAGAGTGTCCTACAAGAGTGTCCCACAAGAGTGTCCCGCAAGAGTGTCCCAAATGAGTGCCGCACAGGAGTGTCCTACAAGAGTGTCCCGCAACAGTGTCCCGCAAGAGTGTCTCACAAGAGTGTCCCTTAAGAGCGTCCCACAAGAGTGTCCTACAAGAGTGTCCCGCAACAGTGTCCCGCAAGAGTGTCTCACAAGAGTCTCCCTTAAGAGTGTCCCACAAGAGTGTCCCACAAGAGTGTCCCGCAAGAGTGTCCCACATGAGTTTTCCACAGGAGTGTCCCACAAGAGTGTCCCGCAACAGTGTCCCGCAAGAGTGTCTCACAAGAGTGTCCCTTAAGAGTGTCCCACAAGAGTGTCCCGCAACAGTGTCCCACAAAAGTGTCCTACAAGAGTGTCCCACAAGAGTGTCCCACAAGAGTGTCCCACAAGAGTATCCCACAAGAGTGTCCTACAGGAGTGTCCCACAAGAGTGTCCCACAAGAGTTTCCTACAAGAGTGCCCCACAAGAGTGTCCGACAAGAGTGCCCTACAAGAGTGTCCCACAAGAGTGTCCTACAAGAGTGTCCCACAAGAGTTTCCTACAAGAGTGTCCCACAAGAGTGTCCCACAAGAGTGTCCCACAAGAGTGTCCTGCAAGAGTGTCCCACAAGAGTGTCCCACAAGAGTGTCCCACAAGAGTGTCCCAAATGAGTGTCCCACAGGAGTGTCCCACAAGAGTGTCCCACAAGAGTGTCCCG